TATATATATATATATATCAGTTTCCATTTTGCTGGATTTTTCTAATGGTTTTGAATGATGTACAGGGTTATCACTCAAATCCCAGGAATTAACAGCTATCTTTTTAGCTGTTAGGCTGTACTGCAGTTTTGTCATGGAATATGATATCCACACCGTACTTGATTTGTCTACTTTCATAACAACGCTGTGGGTTATATATATGATTCGTTTTAAACTGAAGGCCAGTTACATGGAGGAGAAGGATAACTTTGCAATATACTATGTGGTAAGCTCCACTGCTCCTCCTATTCTTTCATCCTAGGATTATATTTTTTAAGCCTGGCCCCATGTATATTGTTCTTTCATAGGATTGTGACATTTCATTAGTTCTTTTAGCCTTGTCCAATTAGGCGTCTCTCAATTTCAATAAGTCATGAGTTGGGAGATGGGAGTATACATTAACATTGCTGACACCAAAAATTATACTTTCACATACTTTAAATTGTTTTCTAGTTTTCTGTTATATCGATATGTTACCATTGCAAACATCCTTCTGCGTGAATAAGATTAGAAAGCTGGATCTGTATGGTGACATGAGAGCACTTTTTTCTGTGACATGATATCAAGATGTCATGTGAAGTGGATTCCTATTACTAATTTCTAATGGCGGTAACAATTCTGAGAACAAAAACTTGAAACAAATCCTATTTCACAATGCTAGAGTGGGGTTTAGGGTGTTCTATACATATGGTTTGCTATGAAACTCTTATTTTGATAGAGCCAAGTGCCATCATGTCAAATAAAACTGCTAAAGACCATATTTGAATGTGGGTTTCCTTTCACTCCCTCTTTTTGCCTTTCCTTTGCTTGTCTGTTTACTTTGAAGGATTTAACCTGTTCCATTTCATAAATTTGTGATTTTGTCACATATTGCTTGTAACTTGCATTTACCTTTAATCAGAGTCAGCTTGATGTACTTTACTTTTGAAATTGAATGCAGGTGGTACCCTGTGCTGTGTTAGCCTTGCTTATTCATCCATCAACTTCTCATCATATAATAAACAGGATTTTTTGGGCGTTCTGTGTATATCTGGAAGCTGTCTCAGTATTACCCCAATTGCGGGTCATGCAGAACACCAAGGTATAATTTCTTAACTCAAGAATCTCTGTGCAACATTTTGTATATGAGATCTGATTCCTTTTTTCCTTTTCATTTTATACTTTCAGATTGTTGAGCCATTCACAGCTCATTACGTATTTGCACTGGGTGTTGCAAGATTCTTGAGCTGTGCTCATTGGGTTCTTCAGGTCTGTTCATGAGAATTCAAAATTGCATTAGTCAATTCTTTGATTCATTTTCAAATTTGTTGCTCACTTGGTTTTCTGATACATGCTGGTTATCAGTGTCCCTAAGACCATATTTTTTTGGGAATGCCTATCTTGTTCAGTGAAATGTAAACATTATTTTTTAAATGTGTTTCTCTTTCATTTTAAGTAGTACAACCAACACATCTTCCCTCTAGCAGAACTTTTTACAAGGGCGTGTGTTCTGCCTGTATCTGATTTTCCTTTTGAATGTTGATGTGTTTTGAGTTTCTAATTAAGTTAAAACCAACTTGATAGTAAACCAGTTATGAGATTGCTGCTGTTATTAGTTTGTTTCTTTAATGGTGTAGCTTACTGGATTTTCTAACTGCTGGTCTTTTACCAACTTACTGTTTCTTTCAACAGGTGTTAGATAGCCGTGGACATTTGTTGGTAGCCTTGGGGTATGGTTTATGGCCATCGATGGTTCTTATCTCAGAAATTGTGCAGACCTTCATCTTAGCAGATTTCTGTTACTATTATGTCAAAAGGTTGGTTTAGTTTTTAATGTAGTTCTTTCTTTGCCAGGCATTCATTTTACAACTTTTGCTGAGAGTTTCTCAAGATTTTTCCAGCATGACACTTGTCCAGTTGTTCTCATGATATTTTCTTTTTATTTAATTTCAGTGTTTTTGGGGGACAGCTTGTTCTACGTCTTCCTTCTGGAGTGGTGTGATTGAAGATCCGCTTTGGTGTGTACTAGCACATTTGGTTTTAACTTAATCAGGCATAATGGTTGGTTACCCTTGTTAGAGTACTTTTTCTGTTGACACACTTGTTTGGTTCCTTGGTGGAGTGTAAAGTTGGGGATGAAAGTAAACTAAATATATTTATGTTTTTAAGGTACGGTTATTTGTAGTTGGAAGTGCTTTACAGATGAAGCCTCTATTTGCTTGGACCATTGGAATTTTGTTATTGTTATAACTATTCCACGTGCTCAAGTTCTACGGAAAGTCTTACATTGAACCCTCTGTACCCAGAAGTACGTGGAATGTGCGGTATAGATGCATTCCACAGAACCAATCTAAATTATTAAGAACCTAGAGTACAGATGTTACCTTAAATCTGAATGTTGACACACGCCACAATGTGAATTCTGCCCATGACGCCTGATGAATCCTAACTGATCTAAGAAAATGGTTGCATTCAGTTTTCGCATTCTCTCTTTCAGGGTCAATGAAAATATAGTAAAACAAAAAGCAGCCGTCACAATGCCAGATGCAGACATTACCCGTGATTATGCGTGTGTTTGATTTGATGTTAGAAACATCTAAATGTCTGTTTAACTTAAAACAATATTTTCGTTGCTTCTCAATTTTTGATTTGAAAAGTGAAAAATTACGGTTATGTTTAAGAAAAATGCATACCTAAACATGCTGTAAAATTGTATATACAGCGATTTATTTGTTGGATTTTATTAATGTTTACCCGCAAATAAACAAAAAAAGTATATCAGAAGTTCTCAACAGCTTTTCGGTCAAAAATTCATCCTGCAATATTTTAACCATAAGCTTTTCTAGAAAGTAAACTGGCAAACTAAACTAACTTGCAGATAATTGTTTGAAACCTCAAGAGAAAACCATCAATTTATTCCCTCAAGTACTATTCTCTCTGGTGTAAAAAAAAAGAAGTACTATTCTCTCTTAAATAATTTAAAAAATCTTCTAAGTAGTCATTAAAGAATTGAAAACTTATCAATTTAGTCTTTATGTAAGTATATTTTACTAATATTGAAGGATTAATTTGAAGGTTTTTTTTGTTGATATTTTTGAGAACATGTAATATGATTTCTAATACTTTAATGACTATTTTTATAGCTTTATTACTTTAAAGACAATTTAGATGAGAGGGTAATATTTTAAACACAAAATGAATGGTTTATTTATTTTTTCTAACGTTGCCTCGGAGGAAAGTGAAAATTTCATTCTTTTCTTCTGCATCAGTTTAAGTGTTGTCTCCTGCTTCAATCCAAGGGTTCACCGTAACAATAGTCGATTATATTTAGCTTTTTATCAAAAACTGACCCCTTCCATGTTTATTGTGTAGCATCTCATACCTTCATTGATTGAATGTGTCACATGCTTGACATCATATGAATGAAGGAATTTGAATCTTTTGGAGTTATATAGAGGAAAAGTGCTGATAAATTTGAGATTCATAGTATGAACACTGGAGAGAGTCATCATTTATGCAAATAAATAAATAAATAATAAAATGGACGTAGTTATCATTAATCTACTTTGAAAGGATTTTGCAGCTGAAGTTTTTATTAAAAAATTTCTTCCTTTGATTATTGAAATCTTGAATATGCTTTCGATAGAGTCATGTACCACATAAACATATCCTGTGATAATAATACCAACAAGCTCTCCACCGCTCCAGATTTGTGCGAGAGTTCAAGCACACAAGTTTCTTGCCAGTATTCCCTCAAATGTAATACCGGGTCCAAATGCAAGTATCAAGCCCCATTCAGCATCTCCTCTGCCATTCTTTCTAATCTTGAGTCCCTCCTCCATCATATACTCCAGCACATACACAATGGTATTACTGCTAGCATTGCCATAATCCATGAGAGCCCTTCTACTTGCACTCAGCTTCTCTGGCACCAAATCAAGCCTCTTCTCAATGCGGTTCAAGATGGCAGGCCCCCCTGGATGCACAGCCCAAAACATCTTGTTGTACTCCTTATTCTTAACCCCAGCAACACTCATTAGTTTGTCACAAAACCCTTCAACATTGTCCTCAATTATTTGAGGAAGCTCCCTTGCTAGCTGGAAGCTTATCCCCTCTTCTGTCAACCTCCCATCAATTTTCTTCGCAGTGTGTGGCAAAAACTCCTGAACTGCAGTGTGAAGCTCAAAGAGAGGCTTCTCAGACTCCAATACTGGGTCTGAACCAATTATCATGGCACCAGCACCATCCCCAAAGAGTGCCACCCCAACAAGATCATAAGGCCTATCTGCACTTGGTGGCTTGAACCCAATGATTGTAGTTTCTGAGGTAGCAAGAAGCACTCGGCTTCCAGGGTTGTTCTCAGCTATGTCTTTTGCAACACGTAGGCCAGCCACACCTCCAGAGCAGCCAGCGAAATAGAGCATGACTCGTTGAGTATCAGGGCTCATTCCAAGTCCTTTGGCAAGGTAAAGGTCACCACCTGGTAGTCTTGCTTCACTAGATGACACGTAAACCAAGTGTGTTATGTCTGATAAGGATCCACCCCAGTTTTTTATGCAAGCTTGGGAAGCTTCGATGGCCATTTCTGTCACTGCCTCGTTGCATATCTCCAGCCGTTGCTTCACTGTGGGGATGCCTTCAGCCGCAAGTTCTGGATACTTTTTCAGTATCTCCTCTGACATAACCACGTACCTTGTTTTCACCGTGGTTGTTTTGCCTGTTTATGCCACATTAAGTCAAAGTCAGTGGTTAGTGTTGTATCATTTTCATCCTAAGTACAAACATTCGGTTAGTGCTATGCAACTCAATTTCTACAAAGCTTGGGCCTTGGTGAGGGAACTCAATTTTTATGAAGCTTGGAGAACAGAGTTTCATCCACAGACAACGTTGGTTATGTTTTGTTTCCCGTTCAGCTGCTTGCAACCTACATTTGTCTTGTTAAACTCAGTTTGGTGATGTTTAGTTTTTGTTCTGTAATTCTGCGCACAGCTTCAAACCCAGTTTCAAATGAAAGCAAACTTCAACCAAACATGCACAACATATTTGACAAAGAAATCTATTACAATATATAAAGGGAATAAACTCTTTTTGTGTTCACTTTTAGAAAGTCAATTATACCTTTATTTAGAAAAAAATTATGTATAGAAGAAAAAAAAACTGTTAATCTATTTAAAAATAATTGTCCACCTTTTTTTTTCAGGAGGTATGGAGTGTCTTCTTTTTTACTAGTGATATATAATGCATGTACAACAATTTGTACATTGAATAAAGGGAAAGGCAAAAAAATTTGAAATGTAATAAAGGGAGATAGACACAAAAGATAAGGCTATTGCTCCGGTGCCCTCTTATTTGAAGGGGTTTTGGTGCCCCTCAGTACAAAAGTTGGGTTTTTAGGGGCAATAAGGTAAATTGATAAATTGACCGAAGGCTATCAATTTACCTTATTGCCCCTAAAAACCCAACTTTTGTACTGAGGGGCACCAAAACCCCTTCAAATAAGAGGGCCAGAGCAATCCCCAAAAGATAATGTTATACAGATTATTGTACATGCATCATTGCTCTTTGAAAAAAATGTCGTTCAATTGTATTTAAACATGATTTTAAGCCTTAAGTTTCAACGTGGTTTGCAAACTAGATATAATCTAAACATACGCCAAAACCAACAGCTTATTTAAGTGTAAAAGGTGGTATAAGTAAGGAGTGCACAAATGACTGGGCAATGAATCACAATTATCCCTATATATACATAGAAAAAGGGAAATGGGTGAAAGCTTATGTACTTACAAAGTCTAGCGAGCTTCTGCTTGAGTTCAGGGTTGTCACAGTTTGTGTCCCTGAAATATCCGTCAACTAAATACTCTTGCATGACAAGCTGGTGAGGGAAAGCCTTGCCAAGAGCTAATATGGTAGCCTTCCCGGGGTTCACTCGCTGCTTTCTTGTGGCATCTTTCAAAACACCTACGCTTCCCATATTTCTTTCCAATTTGGTAGTGATATCAGATGCACATAATCAATGTCTTCTACCAAGAGAAAGCAAGACCATTCGTATATATAATCCTCCAATCATGTCTATGACGTTCTGGCGTGACAAGTTTGTAATGGGTGAGACATGATGTGATGCACACAACTGTTATTATAGCTATAAAATGTGAGTTAGATAGGAGGCAAGTCGTTCATGGAGATCGTATTATATTAGTCATTGGGAAGAGGTTGGAATTTGACTTAGTTTAAGTTACATTAACCACACACAAATTGCAGCAATCATGATCCTTTTTAAGAGACTCCAACTATCACGATCAAGTTCGTGTACATATTCTTAATACTTTTGTTTGGAACGAATGTCATTTTGATTTTCCAAAATTGTATAAAGACTCCTTTTTATATTTACAATAATTTTTCTGAAAAATATTATACTAACATTATTACTACTCACTTATATATATTATTATAATTTCATCTCTAACACATAATATTTTTTGTACATTACATTAACCTTTCTTAATTATTTGAAAAATATTACATTGTGACATCTTATAAAATAGATTATCAGTGCAATTTCATGAAACTTCAAAGTTGATAGTGTAATTTACTCTATTTTTTTTTATAAGTTTCATATATAATAAAATTGTTGATTAAAATTGATTAATTAAAATATTTATCGAATTGCCCTTAAAATAGAAGGGCAAAACTATGTATGTATAATTTTGGTTAACCCAATGTTTGATGGGCCAAAAGCACATATTGGGCCTGTTCCATCGGGATCAAACAGAGCCCACTTGTGACATTCATTTGCATGCATAATTCCCGTTGAAAATTTTTTCAACGAAAGAAAATGCTGAGAAATCTGCGATCCCGGCGACGCCCCCGTTACGGCGTATTCGTGTGCGTCGTCGTTTCGTGTGTCGTTCTTCTGCTGTGGCTGTCCCTCCTCCACCGCCGCGGCGCCTCCGCCCACTCCTCCTCCCCCGTCAACTACGACTCCCTCGTCTCGGATTCCGGCACCGACGACTTCTTCGCCGGCGAGGACACGGTGGACACGATCGACGCGCTGGACGTGGTGGAGGACCAGCCGCAGGACTTGGTGGACGGCGACGACGAGGAGGATTCGCTGGACCAGGACGCGGCGTCGTCGGGGTACTTCTTCCACCACGCGGAGGGCGTGATCCGGAGGGCTTTCAGCAAGAGCTCCATCGACGACGAGGAGAGGCCGTTCGTGGTGTTCGGCGCGGCGGAGGATCGGAGCAGGACGGCGTTTGGGTCGGACGACGTGGCGGGGGAGGGGAAGGTGCGGTCGAAGGCGATCGAGGTGAAGGGCGTGGAGGACGCTCAACATTATTTTTTAAATGTG